CAAAGTGTTGAGTAGCTTCTGGCGTGTTTATTTATACCAGATTGTCAGCAGTTCATGGGTCGTGTGCCGTATAAAGAGCAATCGTCACGAATATCCCCTTAAATGTACACCTAAGCACACACATACATACATACATACATACATCTGTATGTATTCAATCATTTTTTATATTTCATCAATTTATATTTTGATCGCGTGCAACCCTAACTTGTTGCGCAATGAACAAAAAGGCATGTAAAATACCAGCGGCTGACAAAAAATGGTATGGCAATTACCCTCGTCTAACAAGTATCAATTACGTCGAGCGACTGGATGTCAAATTAACCACCAAAAAAAGACGTACAAAGTAAAAAATAACCACTTCCGTTTGTAGAAGATCACGCGCACTCGTACATACATACATACTTACATATTTAGCTACTCTGTGGTGAAAATCTCTAGTTTTGAACTGGTGCGCTTCTAGTACATTTAGAACCACTACTAGTTCGCGATAAATCTCTTTTGCATGCAAACAACTGGCGAATTTAACACGGGGATGTCATAGGAATTGGAAATTGTACCCCGCTGCATTACCTTTTCTATAGTTCAGAACCAGTCCTAAATTCGACATATGGGATCAAGTTCGCTTTGCACCCCATTTTCTATAGTTTCGAACCAGTTGTAAACGAAAAAAGTAACAAGATGTTTTCTTTTTGGGTTACCATGGTAGCAATTTTTAATTATTTGCAGAGAAAGGTATTTTCAATCGCAAATCAAATTTGTTCGAATGAATGTAAATTAAGTTGTGCATTTGAAAACACGTTTACATACCTTTGGCTGTAGCTGAATTTGCAGAGGTGCTGACGGTTATTGGTTATATTCCAGAAGGTCCCAAAATGTTAAGATGTTAACCCAAATATTAGGTTTGTATTATCAAACTATGAAAAAGCATCTGCGACGTGCAGACTGAAAGCGTATTTGAACGCAAAACCCGCCAAGCAAAAGTCTATTTAAAGTAAACAAGCCCCCCGCTGCATCCCTTTTTCAATAGTTTCGAACAAGTTCAAAATTCGCCAGATGTGATCTAGTTTGTTCTGCATTCCTTTTTCTATAGTTTTGAACCAGTTCTTAATTCGTCTTTTTGGATATAGATTTCTAAAATTGTTTTTTAAAAGTACCACATATCGCTGCTTTTGAACTGGTGGCGATCCAGTTACTATCGGACTGGTTCATTTTTGGCGATAAAGATCTAGTACGGAACTACAAATTTGGTTCACCAGTTCGGGGTTTCCCTACAGGGTGTGTACATATATGAATATGCACATACACACATACATATGTATATACAGACATACAATTATTTGTCAATCCTAGGGAAGATCATAAAAAAGCGAAGTGAAGGAAATTAGTTTATAATCACATAAACATTCGAAAACACCCTTAATTAGATTTAAAGCGCCACTTAGGCCACTTTATGTCGAGTGCTAATGTCGTACATTTGTACTTACATTGAAATATATGGTGCGTAAAAAGAACAGGGAGGGCACGCTTTTTTACTGTTCGTTCGAATGTTAGTCTCTACATATGTACATACATACATATACATATGCATACAACTGTGCCTACATACCCTGCAGTACGGTGGAGCGAATACAGGACTGCTGAATCGGTAGCTACGTGATAAACTCCGTCAATTACCGACCGACTACTTACAGTGTATTTCATCGATTACTTTTACAAGGCAATGTCCTAGGCGGTAGTCACCATGTGCTCTCTCTGCACTACCGGGAGTTACTAAAGTAGTCACTTGCGTGATTTATGGGCGGCCTCTGTCGTATTTTTTCGCTATCTGGTTCGACTCTGCACTACCATGTGCACTACCACGGGTTAGTAGAGTAGCTACTTACCTAGGAGTCGGTGCAGTAGCGGTTCAAAACTAGCGATTGACTCCAGCAGTACTGGAGGATAAGCAATAATACGTACACAACAACCACAGCTACATATTGTGGGAAGTTTAGAGCATTTAGAACATTTTAACTTTTGACACCTCTTGCTACATACCACAGCCTTACCATTCTGCTTAGCCAGTTATTCAAATTTCTGCAATTAAAAGCTGGACACTTAAAAAAAACTCGGGACATTTTAAGGTTGGACCGGGACACCGGGAAAAATAGTCTAAAACCAGGACATGTCCGGAAAAACCGGGACGTCTGGCAGCCCTAGCTATTATGCTATCGTGTTATAAATATGTATTTTCGGTTACATAAAAAAGTCCCCCACACACAAATTCGATGATGTGCACATAAGTAGATACCCTCCATTACTGCTGGAGTCAATCGCTACTTTTGAACCGCTACTGCACCGACTCCATGATTCAATAATACAAGGTTCGATAAACTGACAGTTGTCTCTCTCTCGCACCGCTCCCTTAGCAGTGGCACCGTGTTGCTTCTTGGCAAATTTACATGGAAACAGTGTAGCTTTGGTTTGAAATAGAAGTATAAGCTTTTGTGCAATATGTTTATTTGTATATGCATTTGAGCATATTTAACTGATGAAAACATAGACTGTTTTTAAATTGGATGTTTACATCAATCTCATAGTAGTCTTATTTTAATTTTGATTCATTTTGCAGTTTTTATACAGCTTATACGTAATTCACGTAGATATATCAATATATTACGTTCAACATTTCGTTTAAAATGCCAGAATTCCTACAGTGAATACTGTAGACTGTCGTGCTGTGCGGACGGGTTTACATACAGTATTGGACATATCTATAGCACCCCCCTTTCAAAGCGATATTGTTTGCCACTTATGTTTAATTATTTGGTTTTAAGAATTTTCAATTAAAATATAGTTCATTTTCCAACAAAACCCATATAAAACAATGTTTTAAACTTTTTAAAAGACCGCAAAAAAGTGCAACAAACTTTCCGTTAAATTTCAAACTTTTTCTCAGAAGCTCTAGAATTTTTTTGAGTACGCAGTTTTATAGCGCATTCAATTTTGTCCAATAATGTGCAGGTTTCAAGTCGCTAAAGATTACCGTTGATTTTTTAGAATCTTTTGTCTCATTTACTTCCATAAACGACTAAACACAATTTATTTTTATATGGCAGAAACCCGCAACATCCTCGGCGAAAAAAATTCTAAAAAATCAACGGTAATTTTTAGCCACTTGAAACTTGCACATTATTAGACTAAAATTGAATGCGCTATAAAACTGTGTATTCAACAAAATTCTACCGCTTCTGAGAAAAAAGTTTGAAATTTGGGTGAAAATTTGTTGCACTTTTTTGCGGTCTTTTAAAAAGTTTGAAACTTGAGTTTATGTGAGTTTTGTGAGAGAATGAACTGTATTTTAATTGAAAATTCTTAAAAATAAGTAAATAAACATGAGTAGCAAACAATATCACTTTGAAATGGGGGTGCTATAGTATTGGCCAATACTGTAGCTCTCGGTATAATTTAATATTTTTACTTTCTTTTGTGCGAAAGTAAATCGATTCGCGTTGTATACTTTGTAATCGTTTTGCTTGGACACTGATTTAATATCATGCCTTGTGTGTGCGATCAAAGTGTTGACCGTGGTCAGCAAAAAATTCAATGTGCCAAATGCAATATTATTTTCCATTTGAATTGTGTTAATCTTCTGCCCGCGGACATAGAATACATGCAAAAAACTAACAAACAATTTAAGTGCAAAAAATGTATTACGGCGCGTCGTGACTCACTTCATTCGCCGACTCGTTCCTACGCTCAGCAGCCCATTGCGGCACCAGCCACCTCTCCCCGAGATGTAGGTGAAAAGCAAAAGCAAGACATCTCTTTGCAAGCAGTTTTCAACGAACTTACAGGTTTGAGATCAGAGAATGCCCATATGCTCTCCTTGGTCAGCTCTTTAATAAGTGACAAAGAAGCCCTAATAAAAAAGGTTGATCATCTGCAACTGGAAGTGCAAGCCGGGAGCTTCATACCTATGCTAACTTACCTACTATATCCGACCTGGCTAGTGATGTTAAAAACATGCGCAAAGAAATAAAAAGCCTGCCTACAACTTCAGTGAAGCCCGCAAATCATCTTTGTGCGCGAAGGCCTGCTATGAGCTTAACTTCACCGTTGCCAACTCACTCACCTAAATCTTATTCCGCTGTCACCGCAGCTGATACTACTTCGCAAACTCTTGCTTATTCAAATGTTTCTCCCTCTTCGCAAAACAACAATGCCGCTTAGAGCTGCAAAAACATCGGAGCACTATCGATAGTATCGAAGTTTTAATTTTTTTTTTAAAACATCAATGTTTTCTTTACTATCGATGTTTTTAGAAGATATGCCATCTTAAGAAAATGTATCCGTTGCTGATTTGTGGTAAGCAAGAAATATAAAAACTAAAGCGAAGGTTATAAACTCATAATTTTTTATAGTTTAGCCGAATTTTAATTGGCGTTGGTGGTTAGCAAGGATGGATAAATTCGTGGAAAAAGCACCAAGAGGTAATTATAGTTTTTCATGCAAATTTGGTAGTGCGTATTTATTTTTATGTGTGAGTTCGTATAGAGAGAAACATGTCAACCGTTGGAAGTGTCAGCGACTCTGACGATGAATGCAGCAATAACACTAGCAGAATTGGCAAATCAGAAGTTTGGAAATTTTTTGAAAATATTAAAAATGGAACGAGCGCTAGGTGCAAAGCTTGTGGAAAAATTTATAAAACTAGCGGCAACACATCGAACCTCAGAGATCACCTCAGGCGACTGCATCCTACTATCAAATTATGTGATTTGCCCAGGTCATCTGGTAGCATTTTTCCATTCATTGAAAACTAATATGATAAGTTTTCTGCTCGCAAAAAGGCTATTGATAACGCAATTTCTGAGTTTGTTGCCTGTAGCATTCAACCCTTCAGCCTTGTCGATGAGAAAAGCTTCCGAAAATTAATAAATGTGCTGGACCCTCGCTATGAGGTGCCGTCTAGGACGACGTTGAAGCACGTGCAGATGGAGAACCTATTTGAACAAATGAAAGCAAAGTTGTCTTCCACTCTGGATAAAATTGAGCATCTTGCCATTACAACAGATCTGTGGACATCGCTGGCGAGCAAGTCCTTTATCACCATCACGTGTCATTTTGTAGACGAAGCTTTTATTTTACGATCAGCAGTGCTTTCAACAAATATTTTGCTAGATGAAAGCAACCATTCAGCACAAAATATTACTGACACAGTGCGCTTGGTTCTGGATAAATGGAACATTTACCACAAAATTTCCGCTGTTGTCACCGACAATGACAAAACAATGATTAAAATGTGCCAAATTATACAAAAACGACATCTTCCTTGCTTCGCGCATACTCTAAACTTAATAGTTCAAGAAGCTCTTAAGTTGGATTGCATTCAACCGGTCGTTGTAAAATGTAAACGCATCGTTACGTTTTTCAAAAATAGCAACATAGCATACGCGAAGTTTAGAAATGCACAGCAGCCAGGCAAGGTATATAGCCTAAAACAAGAGGTCCCCACCAGGTGGAACAGCGCCTTTAGCAAGATTCAAAGAATTATTTTGACCAATGACTCAATTGCAAAAGTTTTACTGGGCACTCCAAAAGCACCTGCACCCCTGACAGCGGATGAAGTTGCCATTTTGAACGACATTGTTAAATTGCTGTCACCGTTTGATAATGCCACGGTGAAAACATCTTCATCAACCTCGGTCACAGTTTCGCTCATAATTCCAATTGTGTGTGGACTCTTGGATACCATGGACGGTTTAAAGCTCAAATTGGAAACCAAAGAAGGCTTCAATATGTTGGCTATTCTAACTGACTGCATAAAACGAAGACTGTTGGAGTATGAAAGATGTACAGTCACCAGATTTGGGACTTTACTTGACCCTCGATTCAAGAAGAAGGGCTTTCTTTCACCTCAAAATTTGTCAGAAGCCACGAAGTTGCTGGAAAACGATATAACTCTTCTAAACAAAAATGTCCATCCAGCTAATGAGAACACCGAGCCGCCAACTCCAACTGAAAGTCCAGGCCATAACCAGCCACTGATTCAGTTTCTCAGGAGGAATATTGCCGAAAAAATTAGGACCGATAGAGTGGACTCCATTTTAAGCCTTCGCAACTATTACGATAGTCCAAATCTTCATGAAGATTGTAATCCTCTTGAATACTGGCATGTAAGCAATTAAGTTATAATTTTTATTGTAAAAAAAAAATATAATTATCTTATTTTTTAGGGCCTAAGTGATAACGAATCACTGAAATCTTGTTGCAAATGAATCTTATGCATTCCAGCGACTTCAGTTGAGAGTGAAAGAATTTTTAGCAAAGCTGGAATTGTTTTTAGTGATAAGAGGGCTTCACTAAAATCGTCAAATGTAGACAAAATAATTTTTATGAGTAAAAACAATTGGTTAATAAACAAGTAACTGCTGGCTGTAAGTGTTTAAGGAAGTGATTACTCACAAAAATGGTCCTGTCAGTGCCATTCGATCTCTGATAGGGAAAATTTAAGACTAAAAATACTAAAGTGTACCTTGCATTTTTGCCTTAAAGAGCAAATTTTTTATTTATTTAATAAGACATTAAATATAACACAAATGGTTTGTGATGTTTATTTCTCATTTTAATAATGAATAACTTTCATATTCAATTAATGAATAACTTTATAATAATAAATCTTATTTCTAAAAAATTATAATGTTTTTTAATTGTTCTTAATTGCAGCTTTAAATAAAAAGTTATAATTCCCAAGAAAACCCGATAGTATCGATACTTTCGATTTTTTATCGGCAAAAACATCGAAAAATCGATAGTTTCAAACATCGATGTTTTTGCAGCACTAATGCCGCTACGATGCATTTAGCACTCAGTAGCCAGTCGGTTATACTCGAAAACGATGAAGCCAACTTTATTGCTTTGAAAAGAAAGGAAAACAAAAAGAGACATGCCGATAATATTGTTGTTGAACGTAAAACCAGCAGCGAACTACATGTAATTGCGCAAACTAAGTGGATACACTTGTCATGGTTTAGCCCCAACGTGAGCGAAGAAAACATCATTGATTATGTCCATAGTCATGCGAATATTGACAAAAAGCATCTTCTTTTCTATAAATTGGTAAAAAAAGACGCCGAAACCAATAACCTGAAGAGAATATCTTTCAAGTTAGGTGTTGCTGAGCAATATTTTGATAATATTCTCGATCCTTCTCTTTGGCAAGAGTATGTAAGAGTCCGCCCGTTCACAAATTTTCGAAAAAGAGATGTGAACCCACCGCAATCATAGCGAGTGTAAAAACTCATAGTAGGTTCATTCCTTATCTTTTTGGACTACAATCTGAAAAGTGTCAAAATGCCAGAGCGTGAGCAAAATGCGCTCACTAAAAGAGAATAACAGGAAAAGTAAAGGAACGCAAAAAACCAAATTTTTAGTCCAAATAATGGCAACACAAAACTAACGTCAAATAAGAATGGAAATGTATGTACAAAACACATTCACACAAGCACAAGCACAATAAACACTTACTATATCAATTATTTTTTGCCTCCTTCCGATTTCAATTCACTTTTTTTACTTTTTAGATTATTCTCACTTTTTGTATATTCTTTAATTTCCGTTAATTTAAATTTAGTTGAGTTTGACACTTTTCAGTATTTTGCCAGAAAAAATTCTTCTGACTAAATCTGACTACTTCGGACTGATGAGAGTCACTCTCACTGGGTGTTGCTCTCTCATTTAAGCTGTCATTTCCGAGTTAAGGAACGCTTTTTGGACTAAATCTGACTACTTCGGACTTTTTCTGACTATTTCTGGGAGATAAGGACTATTATATCATTGAATGTTGCTCAAGAACAGCGTTGCCAACCATGGGCTTTTCCTACCAAAACTGGTAGGTTTTTTTCCATTTGGTAGGTTGGTAGGCTTGATTGGATTTTGGTAGGTTTCGGGACAATGAGTAATAGTTATTTGCGAAAAAGAGAAAATATGTACGTATCTCCAAATATTTTAGCAACCTTTTTTACACAAATATTTCACGGGTGCGTTCTTATAATGGCGGCCACAAACATGTAAATATACCTGATTCCTAAGTACAAGCGTATACCTTATTATTGCCAATATGCAATACGGACATCCATATATCGTGACCTAAGGGTGAAAAGGTGCCAAGTCCATTTTTAGAAATTTTTCAGGAGAGACGAAAAATCGATGTAGTTTCGTATTATTTGTCATTCTGCATCAAAAACTAAACTTTGAAAAAAACAAATGGACTTGGCACCTTTTCACCTTTAGGTAGCGATATAATTTATGGCGTACTTGGACCAAGATTCCAGAAAAGTCTGCCAATGGGCTCGTACTCAACCATATTTCAGGCAGCGTTAAAGGCCTTAGAGTCTTTTAAAACGGCATCAAGGCTTGTAAACTCTTGAACCACCTGCGAGCGCACAATAGCGTCACGCATTAAGGGTTTGAAGGCAACGAAAATGCTGACTGGCTCGCAAAGCGTGAAGCCCAAATGCGTTTGCATGGACCCAAGCCTTTTTGTGGCAGAGATGGGCAAAGTGGCTCCCAGGAGCCTTTTGCACTTAGGAGCGGGCGTGGCATATTTAGGTGGTAGATGAGGGGGAACATCAAGAGCCAGCATGAAGGGGGGAAGAAGAGCGTATTCAAATTTCATGTATTCTGACTCTCATTACTAATATATATGATGCGTTTATTGTATTTTATACACCTGTTTACTCTGAGAACTGATTTAGCTCTTGCGTAGCGCTCGCTGACTCTTTGACGGCTTTAAGAGCCAAAAATCTGCCCATCCCTAATCTAAAGTATACACTGCAGACCTACTTAGGGATTGCTGCCTACTGGCGGAAGTCAAAGGGAATAAGACAATCAAAGATATGCATAACTCTTTCCAGCAGGAACTCCGAAAGACATCTCGAACTTAGAACTCTTACTGGCAACCTGACAGCACACTGCAAGCTAACTTTAACTAAGTGGGTCTTTCTGTAGAGACGATCTGTAGGGTTTGTCGGCTGGTGAAAGAAACCCCAGAGTATATTCTATGTGACTGTCCACGAAGCATGAATCGTAGATTGATACACCTTGGAGAACGATTGCCTTCTCCATCTAAAATTTGGAAAATGGCCTCATCAAAAGTGTTGAGCTTTTTAAATAGCCTAAGGTTGGAGTGATTACAATTTTGATTTAGCACAATATATCTTTTTAGGTCGCAGCGCGGTTATCTGCGACGTAATAATAATAATATCATCACTAGACACAAATAAAGAGCTCGGAAAAACTCTTTGGGGAGTTCTGGGGAATACTGTTGCACTCGAAAATATAGTTGACCACGGATATAAGTTTATGGGTCTTTCTTCGTCAAAGGGGTTAACGCGGCTTTATTTGCCGTCACCTATGTTAAGAGTCTTTCTTCGCCGAAATTTTTTTTTCGTTATCAACTTTTGAGCTCGCGTCTTTATTCGTTCCCTGCAAAAAAATTGTGCGACTAATCTCTAAAGAGAGTATTCCGAGATTACTCTCAATCGGGTACAATTGGGCATTAATTTGTCCCAACTAGTCTCATACGGGTACTAATGGAGGCCAATTAGTCTCGACTCATCCCTTATGGGTATAACCGGAGATCAATTAGTCCCAACTCATCTCCAACGGGTACTATTAACGATTTAATGATATGTACGCACTTAGTCAATGAAATTTCATGTGCGGCGTTGGCACACAGAGAGCGTATTCGCCTAACGAAACTGAGCACCCCGGTTCGAATCTCAGCTGGCGCAAATTTTTATTTTTATTTTTTAAAAGTGACTAGTCGCTTCTTATACCCATTCGGGTATAAAGGTGAACAATTAGTCTCTTCATAGGACATGCTCGAACAAAAGCGATCAGTTCATTCCATATAAAGAGATCAAAAGCGGTATTAGTCGCATGCTCCTTTGCGATTGCTCCCGGAGTCATCCCGAATTAGTCCCATTTTTTGCAGGGTATCTAGTGACGATATGTATGTATGTGTAAAGAGACATGGATAAGTCTGTACAGCAAAATGAATCGTTATACGCAGTTAATTTGTTTTTATTAATCTAGTTGTGTTTTAGTTTTACTAGCTTATGTGAACTATGTTTTTTAAAATATTTTACATCACTCCCCACCACTCAGACCGAACTGTCTTCTGATGTTAGCTCTGTGCAGAGAAATTATGACATTGATCAAATTATTATTATACCCGAGCGCACTTGTGCCCGCTATCCCATATAACGGTAATTTCGAGAAATACGAAATCCTTGATAAATCAGTAAATATTAAAGCTAATTTATTCAAAATTGATGGTTGCAACAATTCTTTACCAGGAAATAAGTTTATGATAAAATTTTGGAAAATGGGCGTGGCACCGCCCACTTATGATCACATATATATGTATCTCGTTAACCGTTCTAGCAATTTGTACCAAACTCGGTATGGGTATTGTGCTTGCCTCATAAAAGCAAACCGTTGAAAATTGTTGAAATCGGACAAAAATTACGGCCGCTTTTCATATAACGGTAAATTTCAGAAATGCTTGAAATTTCTATGTGTCGAAATTTAAGGATGCTAATTTACTCAAAATTGATACACCCCTGCTAACCATGTAACGTTAGTTTTCGGAAAGGAGGAAAACATATATTTAATACTTGCGCCGGGTATTTAATGTTCGGCTCCGCCCGAACTTAGACTTTCTTACTTGTTAAAATTTTAGTTGATAAATCGCAAGAAATTTTTATCTCTGCTAGTTATATACCACCGCAAAGTCCAGTAATTATATAAAACACATATAAATAATTGTTGTACTATACTAAGTAATCGTAGTGATAGTCAGAATGTTATTATTGTTGGAGATTTCAATCTGCCTAATGTTAATTGGAACTATGATATTGACATTAACCAACTCATACCGTATCAAGTTTCGAGTGAGAGTGAATGCGACACATGTGCAGAGTTTAATCTCAACCAACGATGTTTATAATGATAACAATCGATTACTAGACTTAATATTCGTAGACAATCGCCTGCAATCTGATGTCGTGCCCCTCTCTTCACCCCCTCTCCCTAACTCAATTCACCATAAAGCACTGTGTGTAAGATTTCGATTCATTAATTATATCTACCAGCCTTTAATTGAGCGACGTTGAACCAACAG